GGTTCGAGTAATCAATCTAAGGATTGATTCATGAATAGTGGTTTATTAACTCAGAGTAAGTACATATCGCATATATGCTTCAAATTATTAGGAAAATATCAATTAAAATACTTAAATCACTTTAAAAAATCGAGTGCACAATTGATTCAGATGCATAAATCCCTTGCTATTAATTCTACAACTGGTTACAGAGATTTTCTTCTAAACAAAATGCCCTCCAGGAGTTTGTTTATTACAAACTACTCGACTAAGCGCTGATTGCATAAGGATTTTTCTATACTGCCTTGTTTATCCCACTATAGTCAGCTACGCGTCCGCTTCAGCCGTATTGATGTGAACCCTTCAATAGGCCCTTGTCGGAAGAAAAACACATCTCAGTGATGCTTTGTGGCCTCATTCGCTGCACTTACGTTCACTGTGTGTCTTTGTGATTATTCGATTGAGCTCTCAGAAAAAAAGCCACATTTGCCAATTTCTTACATTTTTTACGAAACATGTCATGCTTCAGGTTTAAACAAAATAAGTACCTCAATATGTGTGTACTGCTTGCTAGAACAGTAAGTTCCTTGAGATATTTATCACTCGCAATAGTCTTTCCATGGCTAATAAACGGTTAGCCCTCCCTGTATTGTTTTCGCATACATTGCGTAGAGCCTAAATGTTTTCCTATAGTGATTGCAAGGTTCGGGGCAAATTCAGTACAATCACTTGGTCGGCTACCTTTTCAAATCATCTGGGAAGGATTTAAAAATATTATATAATGTGCTACACCATGAATTTTCCCTCTGTAAAAGCAAACCAGGATAAAGTGATAATGTTCCAGACTTTACAGATTTTTTGGCGCAAGGAAAAGATTTTATACTCAAAAGCTACCCGCTACATCCTCTATAAATCTACAATAATGAAGAGCGTTCGGTGAGCATCATACTGTAATCCAAGTCAAAGCCATTTGAGAATGGTATCTTGTAAGAGTGAGAAAGGCAAGATATTAACAAGATATTAAACAAAAAGTGTATACGTTCTTGAAGCCCCCCACTGCACATGAAAATTATGCGTGGAAATGAACGTTTGAGAAAAATGTTGCCAAAATAGGGAAGTTTTGAAAGTATCGAACAAAGCGTTAGTCCTACAATTAACTTGATGAATGGCGCCCATATTTTACTGCCTCCAACTGTCGTTGAAGAAAAATAGCGACATAATGGGAGGCAACTACCAAGCCTATGCAGTTTTTACTTTTATTTTCTCCATTTGTTCAAATCATGGGAATCTGTATATCATCAGCTATGTAATCCATGTGGCGTCCGCTTGTTTACACTAATGCAATAATCGGAGTCGCTCGTTTCAGTAGGGCCACTTGGGCTGCTTAATTTATGATTGTGACTGCGGTGACTGCAAATGCAATGCAGCTTGACGATTTCCTGAAAAAAAGCGTTCCGCTCGCCATGGGAACTGTTCAAATTTTGCAGTTACTTGTTTGCGAACTTCCTGTGCAAGCTCACCTGATAGGTCGGCTTTATCCTAAATGAAAACGTTGAAAAAAATGAAAAAGAAGTTTTTTCATTTTCATTGCAGCAAGTGCGAATTTGCATTTCAAATTTACTACTTGATTTCTTTAGTGTGAAACACACATTTCGACCGAGCATACGAACTTTCATATCATCTTGTCCTTTGCAGCAGTGGCGTCGGTAAATAAACATGAACTTGTGGCCGTCACCTCTCTATTCCACGTGAACCTGTTGTGATGCTTGTTATTCTCTTGAGCAATCCCAATTTCTCTAAAAATGATATCACTCATCGCTACTGTCTGTCAAAAATGTCAAATGGTTTGCAGATTACTGGTGTAGATAGATTTAGTCACTATGTGCAGTTTTTTTACTCTGTAAAAAATAACCTCTTGTAAATGAATATGCTATGAACGATGTCTAGGTTTTCCTCTTTCTTCTGTTTTACATCAAGACTGATTTGATTTTCTATGCTAAGATCCGCTCATCATGTAATAGATGATTTTATTTACCATTCATGGCTTCAAAAAATTGTTATGAACCTAAAAATTTTCACAGCTCCTTTTCAGAAGCTCTTGCAGTTTCTTGATACACTGGATAAATCACTGGATTACAATTTTTTGATGCCCATTTTCAAAGTAATTCCAATTTTCTGGTGACATATTTCTGAAATAGCATTATTGAAGGCTGACTAGAATCAATAAATCGGATCATCCCTTCGCAGACAGGTTTTATGAAATAACTGATTGTAGCATCAAGGATATTGTTGTTTTTGTGCTGATATTTTTGAATTTTTGGGAATTTTTGAACCTTCTTTTGTTCCCCAAATTCCGCTTCAAGTATCATGCAAGTTGCGAATTGTTCACATGTGTTCAGTCAGCCATACATTACGTATACACTTCAGTGACATTGAGAATAAGATCGCTTTTGATTGAATTTGCTTTTGAACCACAGAATTTTGTCAATATAGAACTGATTTTTGTGAAGTTTATTTCAAAAGATGAGCTTATCAAACTCACCTGCATCTATCGATTTTGCTGAATTTTGCAGAAAGTTTTTCATCTGTCTGCCATATGGCTTATCTAAATAAATTCGCTTCCATTCATGCAAATCTAGTTTTGTCCGTGAATTGTGTCGCATATTCCGTCACAAAGTCTCGTTCACATTGATATATTCTCAACTCTCCAACCTGCTGTTTCAGAACTAACACAACATGTTCTCACAAATCTTCGATCAAAGTAAGTGAGATTTATTACTATGCTTGGGAAGTAATGGATTTTCGGGTGACTTGATGCCTACAGAAATTTCTTGTTCCTCAGTTTTTGGTTCGTGGAATGCATTCATTTCTATGTAAGGCCCACTAATGAGTGCATTCTGATTTGAGATATCTGGTTTTTTTTTGTTTACACACGCGATTTTCCTAGTTTCTTCTCCTTTAGGCAAATTTTATAGAATATTTCCTCTACGAATCACATTTTGCTGGAAAATAAGAAACTGTTGAGATCATAGTACTTTCTTCCACTGGAACTGAGAGTTAATAGTCAGAACTTTTTCACTAGGCTACTATTGATGCTCACCTAAGTTTTTAAGCATTAGGAAAGTAATCAGGGCTCGGCACGAGGTGGGTTTCCGAAAATGCAAAAAACCGGAACTAGCGCCGAAATTACACTATTTGCTGCCAATAAGCAACAGTGTGAAGCGCTGTAATGTGGCCGCTGGTATAGAAAAAACATCAAAAGTGCAGCGTCCACGCAGTAGACGAAATTGTAATATTTGAGGAAGTGAATTTTAACTAACAGTAACACGGAACTACTCTAGACTGATTAAAAACAAAAGCCGTTCTTTTTTCTATTTTCACTAAAAAAATACGGAACAAAATAATTGCTATAAAATGAAGCATAATAAAGTAAGTCAAAGTATTATATATGAACTAAAAGAACGTATCCCAGTGGAAAGCAGTTTTTTTGCTTATTTTTGAAGAAAGTGATTCGGATAGACAAAGTTATCAAAATTCAATTGCACCAATCAAGAGGCAAAATATTTGTATTACCTTTGAATTTCTCCTGATATGCAATCATGAATGATTTACAGATATGTGAAATAATGATAATGAGCGCGACATAAGAAATCCAAAAGAAATCCAAGACTAAAAAGACAGGCATACTTGACGCGATTTCAGCCGCGACGCGATTTGGCACTTCGATAGAAGTCTTCAGACTCGACACTAGCAAACTGCACAAGCTTAGCGTGAATAACTTACGTGGATTGATGAAATGCCCTATCTTCTCTACATTTAGAATGTGCTTACAATGAGTTATGGACAGTTGGAATATTGCCAAATTGCGTGAAGTATGTCCAAAACATCAAAAGTAAGGTTTAGTGAAAAAATTGATTTACGTAATTTGAAGCCTACTTTAGTATCCCCCAACTAAGTTAAAAAAAGAGAAGTCATTTTTGGTGGAAAACCAATGTCTCGTTGTAGATAGTGGAGTCGTTGGATAGCTTATTAAGACGAACCCGGTTTTAGACCGGGGGAGCAACCTCTAATACAATCGGGAGATAGGTAGTAAGGCGGAGCTGACCCGTGCACAATCAGACTGTCCAGGAAATATATACAAGAAAGAGGATGCCGCAGCTTGGCGCGGCCCCTGGAAGATAGGTGCCACTCATTGGTGAGTGATTCGGCACTTAAATATAAGCGATTGGGGAATGTAGCCTATGGGGAATACCCGTATACTATTAGGATTATAGAAATGTTGAGGTTGATGATACATAAATCATCAACATCATTCAAGAATCAATGACTAGATAGAAAAGAAAAATCAGCAAAGGAATTTTCTGGACCTGCTGTGAAATGACAATGAAGCGCATAATGAATGCGAGACTATTTTCAAACCCAACATTTGGCTAGGAGTTTTTTTTACACCTTGCAAACGACGTTGCACATATTATGTGCAAATAGGAAATTCGAAATGTATCACGTGTGCTGCAATCAAATGACAAATGCCTTTACTTAGTTTTTTGAAGCGGTTTGGGAAAGTTTCTTTCTTTTGTACGATCTATGGCCATGTCTGTTTTCCATTACTTCAAAAATTCAACAGTATACAAAAGGAATTCTAGTTTTCTACATGAAACAAAATATCCGGACAGGGGCCAAACGTGAGTGATTGCAGGTGTTTTGACAAAATTTACAAGGGCATCGTGGTCGATTCTGCACAAACAACGTATTCCGCAGCCATCGATCGGTTCGGAGGCCGTGCCTCTGTCGTGTCGATATAAAAAGCCTACTGACAAAGTGAATTTGGACAGCAATTTCGCAGGGAAATTCATTGAAAAGAGAGCTTTTATAAGAACTGAGGCAATTTCCAAGCGTTGTCTAGTTTTTGCCTCCAAAAGAGAGAAATGGAAGTGAATCGATAGCGAGACTAGCGTTCCGGAAATGTCACCGTAAACATATGAAGCAGCTGAGGCGGGCAGTTGTTTACAATCTCTAGTGTGGACGTTGATCGTTGCGGGATGTCTAGACAAGAACACCAAACTTCATTGCACTTTATTGGACCAGTAGAACACAAGAAGCACATAAATGTGCATAAATTTCACGGCCTCTGAAATTGGAAAGATAGCAGAGAGAGAAAAAATTAAGAAAATAGAGAAAAAAAAGTTGGGGAACAATTTTGGTGACAAATGTCAGGAGAGTATGTATCTTTTAATTACTATACAACTTCATTTTCGTCAAATGGTTCCTTTTCGGTTGGTTGCACACACTTCTTCTCACAATCGACTTTGTAATCGAATCGATTTTCGTTACCACCAAAACCTCTGTAGAAAAATTCGACACATTTGTTCTTATCCTTATCGTAGCCATACCTAAAAATGAGAGATTTTAGCAGCTGATGCGAAGTTTTGACTTGAATTTGTAAAAGTTTTGATTTGTGGAGCTTATTGTCAGGAAAACGTAATAAAAGAGTAAAGAGACTTAAGTTTTAGGCTTAAGTTTCTGTTTTGTCTATCCCAGAAGTTGTGGCTGTGAAATGCTGAAAATGACCACCATGTTGGACAGTGCCCAAAAAAGTGGCTGAAATCACTTTGCATGACCAATGACTAGTGAAATATAAGCAAAAATTCGAAAACACAGATTTTGCCCCTTTCATATCTCCTCCTTACGTAAATGCTATAAAGCATTCCATGCTCAAAGATAGAAGATACTAGCTGGCAAACCCGGCTCCGCCCGGCCCTGTCATTATTATATTCGTAATCAGCATGCTCGATTACCCCCCTGTGCCAACTCCCAGCCCCGTAGCTCAAATTTTGCAAAAAATCGATAAAATCGATATCGATCGATAACGAAAAGTAGCCTATGACACGCTCCCTGCCCCGAAGTATATGTGTGCCAAGTTTGGTCCAAATCGGTTCAGAAATAAAAATTCCTATTCCGCACATACGTACAGACATACATACATACAGACAGACAGACATTCAGCTTTATATATAAGATTAACATACATGCATACATCACTGCGCGGGATTTGCGCTCAAAAAGCAAAAAAAAAACGAATAGAAAACTAAAAACGGTTCGCTCCCTTTCTAGACTCCATATGCATTATATGACATCACATTCTGCGTTTACTCAGTACCGATTTTGGCTCGCAAATGTTTAAGCTATGCTAGAAAAAGCCTCACGATGAGTAAATTTGTGAAATACAGAACCTTGCGTTTAGATAAAGGAGTAAATAACGATAATGGTAATGATAAAATTTTGAAACTGCTCACATGCAGAAAATGTTCCCCATACACATTCTTCATGTATATAACATTACATCAAGCCATTTTAAAGGTTTTTCTCTACGATTCATAACTTTACAGGAACAATAAACTTGTAAGGCTGTATTCATGTGAAGAAGAAGGTTGTGCATTTAAAATATATTATTTCATATAGCTTCCAAAGTCGCCGATTTTTTAAAATGAGCTCACATAGAATTAAATCACACTAAAGTTCTATTTTTTAAATCGGGTCAACATGCAGCTGGAGAAGCTGCCAAGAATAACTTGGTCCGCTGGAGAAGACACTTCATAAGGCAAGGAAAAGTTTTGATTTCCACCACCAAAACATAGAAAATCAGGGCAGAAAATTGAAAATTTTTTTTGGTGAACGCAACAAAGGAAAAAAATGCATTGCAAACTTCTGCACTTATTCGTACTTAGGTTATCAGTCTCAAACTCATTCATTAAAGAGGAGGCAATGCTGCGTTGAATATATCTTAGGCCGTCTCTTGTTTCTGTGAATGTGTATTCTATGAAATTTGGCTTAAACTGGTGAGAAAAACAAAAAAGCTCTTGAAGTGACCCAATTGTATACGAGGGTGCAAGAAAGGGAGTACGATTATAAGATTATCATTATTAAAGTATTAGATCGTAACATAAGTTTTGTGACCCTTTTTTCATTTTCCTCTGGAAAACTCTGGAAACTTTAGCAAAGTCTGATATTTAGCAGCAATGGACAAAGGACTATCCATTGGCATCATTTCCACCTTTACAGATATGGATTACAGTGGAGGTAAGGGAAATCTTGTGACGGCATTTAAATCTCCATTTTTTCTTTTTTCCTTCAAAAATTCTCTCATTCTTATCTTATACGCTCTTGGATTTTTTGTGGATCTCTAGGGATATTAATACTAATATGAAGGCAGTTTGGAAATCTAGGTTTTTCAATAACGCAAATAGGAAATTTGCCAAAAAACTATTGAGAAAAGTTTTGAAAAATTCAAAAATTTGATTTTTTTTATATGTAACATGTATATACTGAAAAGTTACAGCCATCCACTCAATTTGGAATTGAGAAAAATTTTTTTGAGGTGGTTATGAATTCCTTTGAGTGTAACAAAACTTATGTTATGACCTAATATAACTTTGGCAACATCGGTGTTGGAGAGCGCCAAGCAAGATTTCAACTCATTTCTCAGTTTTTGATCGCAGAAAAAAGGTAGAAATCACATAACTCAAGACATTTTAAACACTCACACTAAGTCAGCCACTGAAAATATTCTATTCGGGTAGCCTCGATCGATGGGTTGTTTACAGATATCAGGCTTAGAGCCTTAAAATTGTGCTATAAGCTATGGAAAGCTATGAAGTTACAGCAACGCAAATGTAATTCGACTTACTAACACTTGATACGAGCACCAAGAACAACACGATTTTCATACTTAATAGCAAGTTTAGGAACTATTAAGTTTTGTACTAAATCATGGCTAAAATCAATAAATAATTTCGAACAGAATAATGGAAGATTTTTATTCATCATGTCATTTACGGCATAATTTATTACAGTGTTACGGTCTTTATAGTAGCAGAATAATTGCGAAAGATAGGCTTATATGAGTGTACGAGTTCTTGATCACCATCACCATTGATGCAAGGGAAAAAGGGAAGAATCATTTTTCATACGATTTTATGCTAGATTACAGAGGTTGATCTAACAAGGAAAGGATACCGAAATAATCAGGCAAACCAAGAATGGATGTATCTTCTTAGACGCGCCTTTGAACGTGACTCCAAATATGCTTTCCTTTTCTGCGGAGCAACTCTCCGAAAGAAGTTATGAGTGTTTGAAAGTCTAATTTGTCATGTTTGGGGTGGCTCAAAAATAGCTAAAAACTCTAAAACAACACCTAACGGACTTTCATTGGGTGTGCTCCGTCCTTGAATTCAGTATACTTCATGTAAAACTGATAACCTACTTTTAGTGTTTTTGTACAGCTTTCGCCAATTTTATGCCCATAAAGGCACCGTGAACCCTGAGTTGAGGGCAGGGCTCGGCACAGATGGCTTGTAAGTAAGCTGGATATCGTTTTTGGGACAACCTAAGGAGGTATAGTTTTTGAGGCCGAAAAAAAAAACAAAAATTGTGGAGTTTTTTCTTGGTCGACGTTTCGTTTTTGAGGGTTTCTTACTTTTAAGGTTTAGGGTCAAAGGAGACTTTGTAAAAACTCGGGAAAGTCAAGGGGAACTTCGCCTTTGCATTTTCCAAAAGCATTCCGTGCCGAGCCCTGAGGGCCTTGAGCTTTTGGCAGCATATGATAGTGAACCCTATCAAGCCAATGCCCAAGTCGCGACGCAAAATGTCGTTTCGGAAGCGAGAAAGTTGCTCCGGAATAACGAAGATGCACGAGGACCCCCACTGCACCGCCCTACCCAGCCATGCTCGCCCTTCCAACCACCGTTCCGACTCTCCGGAAGGTGATTGGAAGGGCGAGGAACTGCGGGTCCTCCGAAACAGATATTGCAGGGGTTTTGTGGATTCTTGACTTCATATTCGGAATCAGAGACATGGAAGGCACCGGAACGATCAAAACACGAAAGCCGAGATCTGGGGGACGTTGCCTTTAAGTGTCAAATTTACACATTCAAAAGCTCGTAAGTTTTTTCGCAGAAGTGTTCTGCAGAAAACGAAAGCAGATTCGGAATCAGCGTTCAAAGATGCTTCTAATGATATACATCCCTTTTGGTTTGCCAAATCATGTTGGTATCCTCCCCGTATAAGAGAACAGTATCGACAGCGCTTTCTATGTACAGTAACATTTTCAGTAGAGGAATTAGATTTTATTGATGGATCTCAAGTGAATTCAAATCCAGTATGCGACGTGCACACATTCAATCAGACCAACAATCCTACTACTACTAAAGATTGCAATTATTTATTTGTAGCGTGTTGTAGCGAAAGCTTGCTCTATCATGCTGCACATATAATAATGGAGAGGAGCACAACTCGTAGAGGCATGGGACGAATTTCATTATGACTATATGCGTCTCCAATAAGTGCAACATATCAAGATTTTGTAGACCTGCATCGAAATGAAGAGGCTAATTGAAGATCTAAGAACTGAGCTGTATTTATGACTTTGCAATGTGTACGCCAAATTTTTTGTTTTTAGGCACTCCCGATTGTACGGAAATATTAGGCTTTTCTAGAAGTAAATGTTTTTGAATGGATCAACTGTTTTTGTTTTCCTAGCAGACACTTAAACTGGGTTCATACTGATCCGTATGTTCCGGAACACTTCCAGCACAGTCCCGTCCTAGGCCGGAGCGCGCAACTGTGCTGCATGCGCTGTATTGCACGCACGCGGTTTTGAGCGGCGGGAGTTATAGCATTTTGACCGCCTTCAACGGTTTTTCCTCTTTTCCCTCCTCACTCACTCATTTCGGTCTCATTCCTCTTCCTCGCTTCTCCCCTAGCTCAAGATTTACACAAGGGCCTGTGAAAGCAATGCGACAGCTTCGTGGAACACATGTAGTAGGTCTAAATAAAAATGACGAAGGAAAAATGGACGAGCGAAGAAAGACACATCTATACAGTGGGCATATAGTAATACCCAAAAATGCATTCGATGTTTTTTCCTGCGCTCAAAATTGCGAATATGAAGTATTTCACTATGGAAGGTGTTGCTTCTTTCGGGTTATTTATGTTGAATTGGTATTGTTCGGTCATCAGGGCGGCGAACAAAGATGAAATTTCTAGTTAATGCTTACTAAGGCTTGTAGTATACAACGACATATGTGAGAAGGGCTGGGAAGGGAGTTCGGCATTTGAACCATCTTTTTTTTTTCTCGCTTTCCACACTCAGGAAAAATCCAATAGAAGCATTGAGTCCTGCTGTGTGTCTACTATTTAACAAAAAAGTTGGAAATCTGTAGAATTTTTTTTCGCAAAATCCAAAATAGGGAAAGTTCGATTTTGGCTCCAAATTTTACCTGGGTTACGACTTGGGCGGATCTTTGGCAATAATTTTGTAGAGCTTCCTCCGCTCTATCAAATGATACTCCAACTCTGCTAGGAAAACAAAAACCTCCTGATTTATATGGAGAAGGAGTTTACTTTTAAGACGATCTAAAAGTATTAGGTCGTTCCAAAAGTAATGTCGCTTTTAAATGAACGCCACATTTCATGGGATTAAGATTCTCAAGAGATTCTAAAAGCATTCGATGCAGCATTTCATCCTCTTTCTAATGTTTGTGATTTCATTGCATAATATTCATCGAACTCTCGAAAAATCACCAAAATCTGCGACTCATGCTTTTTGCCATGGTCAAATTTGACTATTTTTCTAAATTTTTATACCTATTCTCCAAAGAAGCACAAGTGATGGATAGATAGAGCAAACTCTATAGGACACAGACTAATTTTTTTCTTTTCCTTAGCTTGCTTCTCAGAGTTTCTGGAATGAATTTTTCAATGCCATCAAATTCCATATTTTGTCAACTCAAACCCCACAGAACAATAAACGGCAAGCAACTAGGGTGTCAATCGACGCAGCTTTTCCTCCTCTTTCACAGTTGTTTTTTGTTCCCGATTCGTCAAGTTTTCAGGGATAAAATCATCATAATTCAGGTTTAACAAGGCGCCTCAGGCTGTACCCGGAATTTTCGAAAGTTGCTAATCTGAAGCGTAAGCGCTCATTCACTTTGTAAAATTACTGTCAAACCATAATCCATTTCAAAATCCAAAGATTCATTGGTGTTTGATGCATTTGTGTCTGAGATGAGCCTGCTAAAATTCGGTGGTTCTATCAAAAAATCTATACAAAAATTGTCACGAGCTCTGGAAAGTAGAAAAAAGTTGTGCTGTTTCCTGTAGGGTCTATCCTTCCATCATTTGGACTCCTTCCGAGGGTTTTTATGAGAATTTAGAAAATTTTTGAAACTGGGCCTTCTCAAAAAGCATGGGTCGCAAATTTTGATAATTTTTCAAGAGTTTATTGGATTTGTACCGTTAATGTATTTTTTCTCATCTATACATCGAGAAACTTTTCTTGTTTTTACAAAAACGAAGCTATGCTGTTTCTATTCATGTAGCTATATACTACAAGCCCTTAGAAGTATAACCGTAAATTTTCAGCGTTCCAGAAGCCCTAGTTCTCGAAAAATACCGAATTTAGCTTTATCACTCGGGTGTTCAATGCTAAATCAGGTAATTTTCAAAAACTGGTGCTTTGGGAAACCTGAAAATCAACGGTTTTACTTTTAAGGGCTTATAGTATTAGCTACATGAATAGAAACAGCATAGCTCTGTTTTCGTAAAACACGAAAATTTTCGTTTTCTCGATGTCTAGATGAGAAAAAATACAGTAACGGTACATATGAGTGTCTGATATAATATGCTTTTGTGAGCAAGTTAGAGATTCGTAGGATCTCTGATTTGTCAGCTGGTCCATCCGTTCCACGAACACGTCTGCCCATCTCGTTGGTGGTCTTCCTCGAGGACGTTTGGCTTCGCGAGGAATCCACTCAGATGTTCCCAGTGTCCAATCTGTCCAATTCTCATGATGTGGCCGGCCCATCGGTGTTTCGCTTTCGCAGCGTTTTCCGCTGGGTCACGAAGACGGGACATTCTTCTCAAATCTGTACTGCTGACCTCGACAAGATGTTACTTGTGTCGCCTTATTTTTAAAAGCTTGCGCTCAAGCGCTCTGTGGGTGGTCCGTAAGGCTTTCGACGTGGCTACTGTGTCAGCCTATGTCTCAGCTGCGTAGCAGAGCGCCGGAAGAACGGTTGAGTCGAACAGGTGGGCACGGAGCTCAGGGTCCGTTAGTTGGTCGGTGGCTTCCTTCAAAGGCCCGAAGGAGGCCCAGGCTGCTCTTGTTCTCCTGTTAAGTTCTTCCCTCAAGTCGTTCTCCATGTTCATCGAACGTCCAAGATACATGTAAGAAGACGTCTCCATAATAGGGGTACCTTCCAGTTCCATTTCCGCATCTTCCAAATGGCGTTCTTCATGAACTGAGTCTTCTTTCGATTCATTCGCAATCCGATCTTCTTCCCTACTTCGTTTAGTTCCTTCAGCATTGCCTCTGCTTCGGTGATACTGTTCGAGAAGAGAACGATGTCGTCCGCAAAACGAAGGTTGGATAGGAATCTCCCATCAACTCGTATGCCTCTCTCGTCCCAGTCCAGTAACTTCATCACCCACTGCAAGGCCGCGGTGAACAGCTTCGGCAAAATAGTATCACCTTGTCAAACCCCCTCTTCTCGATTGGAATGGTCAGGGACGATGGAACAGCTGCATCGTTGTTGTACAGTCCTTGTAGCAGTTGGCTAAGTCCTCACGGAGGCTGGGTCCACTCCTTGATCGACTAGCGCTGACAGGATGGCGTTGGTTTCGAGCTGTCGAAGGCTTTCTCGTAGTTAGGACGAGAGGCAGTCGGTACTCCCGGCAGACTTCTATGACCCTCGGA